TTAAATCTTTTTTTTAATTTTTGAATGAAATTCTGTCAAAATCAACACATTTGTGTGGACACTTTCAATTCTGACAGAAAAACATTCCACTGAAAAATTTTTTGACCAGCTCTAGTGAGGACTCTGCCTCAGCAGTAGAGAGGCATGGACCACCGGCTGGAGAGGCACTTTATTGTTTTTTAGAAAACTGTGCAATGGAATATATATATTCACAGAAGCACCAGAGGTGGGAGTGTGGGTGTACATGAGAAGAACCTTCAGAAAATAGCAATTACAGGTAAATATTTTCTGTTCTTCTTAGCTAGATATTCATTACTCCAGTGGAATAATGGACCAGCATTGGTGTCATTTGATTATTCCATAAAAGGCTAACTGCAAAGTAGTGTAATTGCAAATTTATTAAATCAAACCATGTAATCATTCCTCTGAAAATAGGTTGCAAATTAAGATGTAAGTTGCTGGCGTTTAAGCAGATACAGCCATACGTCTATGAAACCACATGGAAATATGATCGTTGTTTATTCCAGAGTGGTATTTCGTGACTGTAAGTCAACCATAACCGTTGCCACTGATCTGACAGAGAGCACAATTCATGGTGAGATATCCCATTACCAAACTTACAGGCACAGTTTTCAGAGATTTTTGTCTTGTTTGCTAGCTTAAAGTTTTGCTTTGTTTGAACGTTCCTCAGTTATTTACAGGGAAGCTGCCATTTTCTGTGACAGGGAGAAGCTAGTGTTTCCTCTCCTCCCACTCTCACGAGGATGCTGCAATCTATACCTGCCCCTTCCCAGCATTCACCATCCTCTTGTGCAACAGTAAACCTTTCTCCTACAGCCTGAGCTTGCATCCTAGCTGCCTACCCAGCAGGACCTCACAGACCTGCCTCCTAACTCATCCCCAGACACCTCCTTTACCCAAGTAAGGTCTTCCTGGAGAACACGCTGCTTTCCAGCTCATTTTCCCCTCCTCTTCTTGACAGCCCTCCTGGACAGCTACCTGTATATCCTCCGCCCTCCTCCAAACTGCTTGAGGGGCCCTTCCTTAGAAGAGTGGCTCATGAGTAAGGCTGCAACCTCCATGACTTCGGCCAATCCCGGCTGGGAGCTGCAGGGTCCCCTGCTGCTGCCAGCATCTGGTGAACCTAATGCCACTCCCAGCTGCTGCGGGCAGCAGGGGCATCCCCAGAGCTCCCCACCACTCCTCGCAGTCCCAGGTGGCCCGGAAACCACCTCAACTGTTCACCTGGGGGCGGGGCGGGAGGGACCCCCAGAGCTCCCGAGTTCGGAGCCCCCAGCCGGGGGAGGGAGGGGAGGGCTGGAGCTCCCAGCCCACCCACAGCTGCCCAGAGTTCTCATTTTATCATGGATATTTTTAGTAAAAGTGAGGGAAAAGTCATGGCTTCCGTGAATTTTTCATTGTTGCCTGTGACTTGTCCCTCACCTTTACTAAAAATATCCATGATAAAATCTTAGCCTTACTCATGAACAGAGCTCCTGAAATCCTACTGACCTCACTCGCACCCGCGCCTGCACAGAACATTCTGGGTAGGACGTCTGTATTTCCATATGATTCTAGATCTGCTTCAGTCATGGATCCCAGAATTTGCCATGGGGAACAGGATCTCTCATTGTTCTCCCAGTCCAGGGCCCAAGTGAAAGGTACCAAAAGGTCAGTTCTGTAGACTAAAATGCCTTATTTCTCCACAGAATAGATATGGTGGAGGCAAGAGCTGTGCTATCTTCCCGTTGTGACTCAAACCTGACTGACGGGACCACCTCTTGGTGTTCCAGGGCACTAAGCTACTTGTCTTCACTTTCAAATACTTCATGTTCAATCCCCACTCTACCTATCGTCTCTCCTTCAGTACTGGGATGTCAGCGCCCGCCTCCCATCGGCCTATGATGCTGGCTTCCATTGCCAACTTGTTAGAGCTTCAAACAAGCCCCTTTATGCTTTCTCCCCTGCTGCTCCTCCTGACAGGAAGGTGATTCCCATACACATCCACCAAGCTGCCTCCTTCAGATTCGTCCTTAAAACTCTCCTTTGCCTGAAGCCTACAAAAAACTTGACAACAGCTAGGCCGCTCATGTGTTGAGATCCCTGTCTATCACTGATACCGTACTCGTACCCCCGCATCAGTCTGTCTGCCTGTCCAGTGGTTGCCTCTTGTATTTTACTTAGATTGTAAGTCATTTGGGGCAGGGAGTATCTTCTTGCTCTGTGTTTGTACAACACCAATGCAGTGGGGACTGGGTCCATGAGCAAGGCTCCTAGGCACGGTGATAATACAAATAAATATATACCCATTCGCTCCTTGGCCTGTCTGCTGAGACTGCCCGGGTTCTTGTGGATTTTATCATGCAGTCGCCTTTCCAATGAGACCTGAACTGAGACCATCAATTTAGCTCAACGTAGGTCACCGAAGAGTCATCTTATAGTGACGATTTTTGGTCACTACTGACCTGGGATAAATTTGAACTATGAAAGGTGAAAGGTGCTATCTCCCATTTCTTTGTCTCCCAAGGGCCTGAATACTTAAAGCAGCAAGGCTGATGGAAGTTTTATTCTTGCAGGGGACGGATGGGCTTTATCTGCATATCAGTTTCAGGATAGCAACTCTGCTTGTGTCACATGCTCCTGAATCTGCATTCAGCTCTCTGGAGGAAGAGAGCATATAGAAAAGAGGACTGCGGGAGAAGACGATTTGGGGGCAATCAGTGGGAATCTCTTGGATGAGTTAGAGAGAGACTGACACTTGGCGTTCGCTTGCGTGTGTATGTGTTCCCTTTCAATAATTTTTGATCCTCCTTTGATGACTGACTCACTTGCCATGCTAATATCTTTATGCTTTGCTTTGCTGTGTGTGTGGGTACATTGGTTAAGACATATTGTCTGGGTCTTTGCTTTGGCAGAGATGTTTATTAGGTTGATGGGGTTGGGTTTTTTGCTGGAGTGTTTTAGTCTCTTGGATTCTCTCTCAAGGAGGGGGTGTTTTGATACTAGCCCGTAAGTGCCTTGGTCTGCCTGAGTGGTGATTCAAACTGACCCTGTCTTAGGGGACTGAGCCAATCCACTGAATGGATTGTGGGCCAGAGTTTCAGCTGGTGTAAATCAGCGGGACTCCGCCTCTAGTGACACGAAATGGGACCGTGCAAAACCACTATTCCCTAGCAATGGTTTAATAGGCTCCCAGTGGACAGTAGATCATGGGAGGCTTGGCCCCAAGTGCAGAGATGGAGGGAAAAGACAACAACAAAAATGCCAAGCAGAAAAAACTGAACTGGGGAAACTTTGCACTCCCTCCCATCTGTGTAGCACAGAAAACTCCACATCCCCTTCGCACAGAGGGCCTGGTTCTTCATTGCTGCAAATTGGCTCTAGGTATGGGAGGCTTTTGTCGTCGCTGGCCAGATGCTGCCTTTGCTTTTTCTTGTCTAGCCTTGTATTGCAAAATGTTCCCTGTTCGGGTTGTTCTGTCTGGCTTTGTTGTTCTTTCCCTCTGTCTCTTCACTGCAAGTCTGGCACCTAGGATTTACTGCTCAATGGGACTTTGCAACCACTGTCAGGGGATAGGCGCTTTTACCAGTCAGTGGGCTGGTCTGTTGGAGAGAGAACTCTGCTGTGCAGCTCTCTCCAAGATTTGAAGAGGGTTTTCTTTTACATGGGACATTGGCTTGAGAAGAATTCTTCCCCATCCTTTGAGTGGGAGGCAGTTAGTCTGGAGGTTCCTGTATTACAACACTAGGTCCTGCTTTGCCTCTGGTCATTGACACTATCCTCGCTCTAACTGCCCTGCGTTTTGAAAATGCGTGCAGACAACGTAACAGGTGCATGAAAGATGTCAGAGACAGCATGTTTTAAAGCTAAAAAAGAAAAAGGGGGTGAAATACACCCCTGTGCAGGGCCTGAGCAGTGCACCACTTCCATCCTGCTTAAGCTCTCCAAATAGGACGGAAGTGGTGCATCGGCCATATGCTGGACTTTCGCTTTGAACTAGCGTGACTGGGATTTCTTCACTGCTTCTGCAAACATGAGCGGTGTGGAAGCCAGATGCGATTTTTGTTTTAAACAAAGCCCAGCTGATTTGCTTTGGAAATAGCTCTCCGGTTACACCACCACCCCCGCAGGCCCCGACTTCCACGGGGACAAACGTTCTTGGCACGTATGTTCGGAAAGCGCTGGGCAAACATGGAGGGATGAATGCTTCTAACACCCTGTGGTGGGAAGAACAAAGGACATTAAAGCTCTCGTATGTGAGAAGCGCACATTGGGTGGTATTTTCAAGTGTGCCCAGTATTGGCCCAGCTCTTCTCCCATTCACATCTGTGGTAACCTCTCCCCTCCCCCCACCCCCCTAAAAAATCCAATGGGAACAAAATGAAGCCAGCGCTGAGGGTTTTGTAGACCCCACCCATTGATTCCCTGGCTGCTGCGGCAATGTTATGTTAATGTTGCCAAATATGCTGCCAAAACTCTGCAAGGCTGGGCCTGGTGTGAGATTAACATCTGTTATGCAGGTTTTCAACGGGGGACCTTCACCCTTGAGCTGAGAACTAGTTCAGGCCCTAGCTGCCACTTAGGTCCCCCTTACGCCTTGTCTTGAGACTTGAGCAGAGCATAATCTGTGCTGGCCTTGTTCACAGAGGTGGATTTCACCCATTGTGAGCATCCTGAGGGATCCCTAACTACGGGGAGTTTTCCATAGGGAAAGGATGGCCTTGTGGTTGGCACACTGGGGTAGGGCTCAGCAGATGTGTGTTCAATTCCTGCATGTCCTTGGGCAAGTCACGTGATCTCTTTGTACTTCTTGCCCATCTGAAAAATGGAGTTAATATGTTTTCTTTTACTAGGTATTAGTACAGCACCCAGCACAATGGGGCCTCGGTCCCAGTCAGGACCTCTAGGCCATTCCATAATAATATAGAATCCATACATACAGTCAGGCCAGATGTTGGTACACTGTGCTCAGTAACAATCTTTCTCTCTCTCCTTTTCAGAGCTGGCTTATGATTTGGATATGGATGATGTTCCCTCAAACAACCAACTTTCGAATCAGCAAAGCAAAGGTGATACAGCGGTTCACAACCTGGGGTCAGGAAATACCACATGGAAGCATGTTCCTGTCACTGCTATTTTCATGGCAGCCTTCCTTATGTGGGCCCATTGACTTTGTACAGTAGCCACAACAGATTTTCCTGGGGATCAACGTCTCTTCTCATTTCTTTCTGAAGAAAACATTCTGAACCTTGCTCCTCCTGCCATATAGGCACACTTCCAAAGATTAAGTGAATGACTTACATTTGTTTTGTAAAATAAAATGGTGTCTTTACCACCAGGGGCTGGTTCATGGTGAATGTTAGTGTTAGTAAATCCAAGTAGTGCTTTTAAAAATAATTCGGAAGGGTGATACTACGTTATGTTCATATCAGTTGACGAAGGCTGAATTTTCATTCCTGTGAAGCAGAAATCCATGTTTTGTTCTGAGTTCATTTAACATGCATGAGCTGGCGTAGCATCTCAGGGTTAGTGAATATTATCACCAAAGTTCTTCTGGCCCCCATTCTTGTCTGACTTAACCCAGGTTTTTCTGTAGTTTGGCACCGACTCCAAATTTAATACTCATCCCTGGGAAACTTACCAGGCACATACTGGTGAGGCCAGGGGGTGCAGTGAGAAACACAGTGCAAGTCCAAAATGGGGAAGGAGATTAAGGAAGAGAAGGGAACCACTGGCCCAACTGATTGAATTTCAGAAATTCTCCTCTCCCTGGTCCTGATTCTGCTACCTGTGAAGTCAGTAGGAAAACTCCCATTGACGTCATAGGGTGCAAGGGTGGTCCCGAAACATTTAGGGGTAGCCTGTGGCTACGCACTTACACAAGGGAGCCAGAACCGGACTTCCACCTGCAAGGCCACTGCATCTTGAGTCTGGAGACCCAAGAGTAGGTGCTTGTTTATCTCCCGCACACCAGCCAGCACGGGGAAAACAGGAAGCCAGCAACCGGTGGTGGAACTGTGTCTGAGGGGTGGCACATTGCCTCCTGGGGCTATTCTTGGGCTGAGCCTAAAGACTAAATTACCCTGGAATAAAAGATGGCTAAATCAAAGCAGCCCTGCTGACAGCAGGTTGTTTTGGGACATGCTATCTTTGATCATCCTCATGGTGGCATGGGAACACTCGGACCATGCCACTGTCCTGTGTCCCAGGAGGATGTTTTGGCAATGCTGGTACGTGAGGAGAGCAGTGCTTCTCGCATGAGAGGGCACAATGTCAGCACGTTGTGTTTCAGGCAGTTCTGCTGCTCGCTTCCCATGAATCCAAACAGTTCCTGGGAAGCCCCTTCTGAGCCAGCCAGCCAGTCTGTCTCACAGTTCTGGGTCAGCTGGACCTGGTGCGTATGTCTTGGCAGCACACTCCAGGAACAGACCCTCTTCTTCCTTAGGAAATGCGCAAACACAGCTCCAGACAAAGGACAGAGGGTGGTGCTGTGCCATACTTTTGCGGGGCTGAATAACATGCCTCCAACCCCTTGCGTAGGTTAAAAGCAAGGATTGGCAGGAGACGCACACACAGCACAATAAGACGTTTATTTGAACATTCTTGTGTATGTTATTTTTGTTCCAATAATTATTTTCTTGGTGGACAGCATATCAAAATCCCTCTTTCACAAATTTAAAGCGTAGGAAAGTTTTAAATTGGAAACTGGAACTGGCTGCCCTGGAGAAGGCCATCAGCGACCCAGACTGCTGGTCTTCAGAGCACAGTGGACAACATATGCCTTTTGGCTAGAACCTAATGACGTTTTTGGGTTAGGGGCGAGGAAAGTTTGTCTTGGTTCCTGGCCAAAACAGGCTGTATATTTCAGCTTAAGGTGTTGGTAGCCTTTGCACTGTATTGTATGTGTGCTTTAAATACTTTGTGTCTCAGAGTTTAAATGCTTTACAAAGCTACTAAGTAAATATCTTTCTGAAAAGTGAACTGCAAAGATTTTTTTAAAGGATACCTTGAAAAGGTGAAAAATATCCAGCTGTTACTTCAAACTGATGAGCCTGACCCTGGTATAAAACTCACTAACTGCAATGGAATTGTTCCTTATTTATACCAGGGGGATAGGAGCATCAGGTTGTTAGCACCAGTCTCATGGTTTCTCTGCCTGGGTGGGTCAGCCTGTGGTTATGGTGCTTGTGCCATAGAAGATCCATTCTGTCCTGAGCTGGCAGGTTCCCTCCTGCAGAACTCTCCCAAAAAATTCCCCCTCTCATGCTCAGGCTGAACTCAAGGGTGAACTTTTGGGGATGTTTGCACAGAAATTGATTGCACATAAACATTTGCTTAAAGGTGATCTTTTCAAATCATGCTCTTGGTCCCCGTCTGTCCTCCCCCATTTTGGAACTATTACAAAGCAGCTTTTAATGTTTACAAAGCTTTTAATTATCAGCAACATCTTTGCAGTTCGCCTCCAGAATGTTAAGGACTTTCACAACTGAGGTTTTGTGGCGCTAAACTGCATTTGTTTCTACCCTTGCAAGCAATGTCTTATGAGTGAGGGTCCGATGCTACCACCCCCTACTCTTCTTGAACATCCAAATCAATAGGACTCAACTGCTAGGTGTGAGAGTGGATGATGGAATCTATCCCGCAGTGATTTACATCTTCCAGGTGAAAGACAAATTCCATAATATCAACCAGTCCAGAGATAACCCTTCCAAAGGCAATGTTCTGACTCAGTTTCTGACCCTGAGGCTTCTTTCCCATCTTATTTTACTGGTGGTCCTGGGTTCCTATTCAGATTAGGGGGCTTTGAAAACTAGTCCTCAGTATAGCAGGAGTCCAGCATTGTTGTTTTCTTTTCCAGTCTAGTCTTTCAATTATTTGTAAACTTTCCTGGCAAGGCAGTCTGAATTCCCAGTGCTTCTCTCACTTGAGTGTAGTAGAAGCCTGGTTGAGAGATTTCAGCCATCTTTGTATAGCTGGAGTGTTTATTGCCCTTTCAGTTTAATACATTTTTCACTCCTGTCATTTACTCTAGGGTGAAATTCACCCCCGGTGCTGGCCTGCGGCACAGGGGCAAATTTCACCCCTTAGTAAGCCACGCTACAGCCTGGCCTTTGCTTTTAACACAAAATCCTTTTTACTGTATTTCTATCAGGATCACGGCTGCATACAATGTCGCCTCTGCGTGCCCTGTTTTTGTTTACTGACACTAACTGATAGTTTCCGGTGTTCGTGGAATTAATAGCCCCAAATGGTAAAGGCTACTCAGCTCCCTCTACATGTGTCTGAAGACAATATCACTCAACAGAGTATTCACATTGAAGGAGCCTCTAGCCTCCAGAAGGCAGGTCTACACTTAGAATACAAACACCGCACACGTGTAACTAGCAGCATAAGACGGTGAGGCACTGCTGTTTGTATCCGTGTAGTGTCCCCTCTGCATCCCCTGGCCAGAGCCTGTCCTCGGGGCAGTGAAAGGCTCCGGCAGCGGGTAGCTTCCAGAACCTTTCCTCGCTGTCTCCTCGCTGCTGAAGCTTTTCACGGCTGCATGTAGCTACCCACCTCAGTGAGGGTGGGCTCTGCCTGCTCGCTGCAGCGTGTGACTCATCTACCCTACACGCCGCCACCAGTGTAGACAAGGACTGAGTATGTCTCCGTTAGGCTGAAGTCTAAGAGCAGTGTCTCCTCAGTGAGAGAAGTCTGGGCTGTCTCCTCAGTGAGAGAAGTCAGGGCTCTCTGGCTACAGACTGGCCTGGGGAGGAAGCAAGGCTGCTGGACTCTGCCTTAAACACAAATCAAATACTGTTTGGCCTTTATTTCTCACAGCTATTTAAGAAGCTCAGATAGTTCTAGGAACAAGAAACAGGATTGCCTTTTCCCATTCATCCTCCTCCTGCTTGCTTGCTTTTTAAAACCATACCCCTAAGGCTCACTCCAGAGCGCAAATTTCTCCCCAGTTTCCAAGGCTGCTCTTACAAAGGCCCCGATCCTGCATGTTACTCCACACGGACAGGCCCCAGTGGCTGTGCAGAGCCCGCCCAAAGTCAGCGAAGCATTGTGAGTAAGGGCTGAGGGGTCCCCAGCCCTGGGTTTTGACGTGCAGGAGCAGATCTAAGTACCAATGCTGGACTTAGTTGCACTGCTAAGCGCAGGCCATAGGAAAGGCCGTGCAAAGCCCCTTGCCACAGGGAGAGCACTGGGAACCACGGTGTGTCTCAGGTCCTGTGACAGCCAGAGCTCCGTGGTTGCATTGAGGGGTTAATTTGCTACGGCCTTTGTAAAGGGTGCAGCAACTACCTACCCTCCACCCTTCCCTGCCCCGCTTCTGCTGAGCTGCTCCCAGGAGGGGGCAGTTGGGTAGCAGGGCCTGCAGTTCTGTCCAGCCCTTAGTTGGGCTTTGCAATGGGGTTGATGAGAGGGGAGTTCTTATTCCCTTCGCCCAACCTACGCCCAAGCCACAGAAGGGCAAACCACAATCTAGTCCACTTTTCAGTAGAACGCCTGTTGGCTTCAGTGGGGGGGGACCTCCATGTTCAGCCATATTTTTTAAACAGATTTGTTTCTTAACCCTCTTGCTGCCCCCTGCTCTTTCTGACCTGGGACTGACACTGAAATAGGCCCCGTGCGAAGGGCGTGCATTGCGGCACACAGCCCTGCCTCTCTCAAGGGGGTTGGCTGCCAGCACCTTCAGGCCACCAGTGGGCAATCCAATTCTCCCTCCGCTCCTCCTTCTCCCAGTGCTCCTTTTGGCTTTGCGGGTTTGGAGCCTGGAAATGGACTATTCTTTTGGGTTGGACACTGTGTGTTGGAACCTGCCAGCTGTCGAATAATGATGGTGTGTTTCAAAGCAAGGGATTGCCCTGGGCTTTTCTGTCTTGACCAAAATGTTCTGTATGCTGTTTCTTGCCTCGCTAAGTAGTGAGACAGCATGGTGTGTGACATCAGTTTTTCAATGATGAGACTCTGATGTAATGTATTGCTTGGTAAAATGATACCGACTGTACCTTTTTCTGTATTCCGTAACGCCTGGCTAGTAATCCCAATCTGCAATGTGATAGTAATACTTGTTGACAGTCTGTTCTGTAGCATGCTGATCCTGCTTTTCCTTTGTACGGACATGCTGTTAAGCGAAGCCATCTTTTCTGAAACTGTGTTATGATAATAGATCACAAAAACCAGTCCTTGAATCCTGTATCTGCCAAGGTTCTAAAACCACACATTATAACCTTAGAAAGACGGTTGAATTCTCCCCTGTGGTGTTTGTGTGTGTGTTTGTGTTAACAATGATTTTGGAATGTTTCTCATGGATTTTTCTTTTTAACAAAAATGTCTTGCCATTGTCAAAAATAGTCTCTGAAACCATCGTAACGCTCCTTCAAGTTACCCTTTAAACTTTCTGATCACTGACTGTGGTACTACCCACTTCCTGCTCACTCAGCTCTTTGCAATGCGCGAGCAATTGAGAGGAAGTCAGAAAACGAACACATTTGAGCTTTTTTGATTTTCTTACATTTTTCAGTGAACGTCGTGCTGGTGGCAGGGGCCAGATTGGGCTGTGAGTTGCGCAGTCTCCCCCTGCTGCCCTGTGAATGTGTTGTTATCCTAACTTTGAATGGGCAAACTCTAGTGTTGAGCGTAATTGTCATGCCCTTTCAATCTTTGCTCTTGTTGCTAAAGATTCCCAAGAAAGGTGCAAATGGTAGGAATTATGATAGGACTTTTTATCCAGTAAGAACTGCATTGAGACCACCAAGTCTTCGTCGGCATCTGGCACGGTGTAATATAAATAATAGTGCAATAAAGCTACTGAATAGCCAGCAGCGGGTCATGTTTGGTTACTAGCAACCTGGTCGGAATCCATTGTTTATAGTTACGTCTTTAACAATAGAGCACAGAGGCACCAAGCTGGATCTGGGCCCCATTGTTCTGGTCTTTGTTTCGCACATACATAAACACAAAGACCCATTCCCTGCCCCAGAGCTCACAGATTTAATAAGCAGAAGATAATCTTTGTTGGGTTTGTTTTTCTTTCTTTAAAAGTTATGAACTCATGTATGACCCAATTCCTAGGTGTTACACTTACAGCTTCTGCAAAAGCTACTGTAAGAAGGAAGAAAATTGTTTTTCTAAGCAACCACCCCTGTCCTTTCACTGAGCAGCAACTGCTTTATTACAGGTTTCAGAGGAACAGCCGTGTTAGTCTGTGTTCGCAAAAAGAAAAGGAGTACTTGTGGCACCTTAGAGACTAACCAATTTATTTGAGCATGAGCTTTCGTGAGCTACAGCTCACTTCATCGGATGCATACTGTGGAAACTGCAGCAGACTTTATATACACACAGAGAATATGAAACAATACCTCCTCCCACCCCACTGTCCTGCTGGTAATAGCACTTCCTGGACACTACAGTGCTAATAAACAATGGTCACATAAACACCACCCTATACCGGAAACCTACTGACCGCTATTCCTACCTGCATGCCTCCAGCTTTCACCCTGACCACACCACACGATCCATCGTCTACAGCCAAGCTCTGCGATACAACCGCATTTGCTCCAACCCCTCAGACAGAGACAAACACCTACAAGATCTCTGTCAAGCTTTCTTACAACTACAATACCCACCTGCGGAAGTAAAGAAACAGATTGATAGAGCCAGAAGAGTTCCCAGAAGTCACCTACTACAGGACAGGCCTAACAAAGAAAATAACAGAACGCCACTAGCCGTCACCTTCAGCCCCCAACTAAAACCCATCCAACGCATTATTAAGGATCTACAACCTATCCTAAAGGATGACCCAACACTCTCACAAGTCTTGGGAGACAGGCCAGTCCTTGCCTACAGACAGCCCCGCAACCTGAAGCAAATACTCACCAACAACCACATACCACACAACAGAACCACTAACCCAGGAACTTATCCTTGCAACAAAGCCCGTTGCCAACTGTGCCCACATATCTATTCAGGGGACACCATCACAGGGCCTAATAACATCAGCCACACTATCAGAGGCTCGTTCACCTGCACATCCACCAATGTGATATATGCCATCATGTGCCAGCAATGCCCCTCTGCCATGTACATTGGTCAAACTGGACAGTCTCTACGTAAAAGAATAAATGGACACAAATCAGATGTCAAGAATTATAACATTCATAAACCAGTCGGAGAACACTTCAATCTCTCTGGTCACGCAATCACAGACATGAAGGTCGCTATCTTAAAACAAAAAAACTTCAAATCCAGACTCCAGCGAGAAACTGCTGAATTGGAATTCATTTGCAAATTGGATACTATTAATTTAGGCTTAAATAGAGACTGGGAGTGGCTAAGTCATTATGCAAGGTAGCCTATTTCCCCTTGTTTTTTCCTACCTCCCCCCCCCCCCGATGTTCTGGTTTAACTTGGATTTAAACTTGGAGAGTGGTCAGTTTGGATGAGCTATTACCAGCAGGAGAGTGAGTTTGTGTGTGTATGGGGGTGGGGGGGTGAGAAAACCTGGATTTGTGCTGGAAATGGCCCACCTTGATTATCATGCACATTGTAGGGAGAGTGGTCACTTTGGATGAGCTATTACCAGCAGGATAGTGAGTTTGTGTGTGTAGTTTTTGGGAGGGGGGTGAGGGGGTGAGAGAACCTGGATTTGTGCAGGAAATGGCCCAACTTGATTATCATGCACATTGTGTAGAGAGTTGTCACTTTGGATGGGCTATCACCAGCAGGAGAGTAAATTTGTGTGGGGGGGTGGAGGGTGAGAAAACCTGGATTTGTGCTGGAAATGGCCCAACTTGATGATCACTTTAGATAAGCTATTACCAGCAGGACAGTGGGGTGGGAGGAGGTATTGTTTCATATTCTCTGTGTGTATATAAAGTCTGCTGCAGTTTCCACAGTATGCATCCGATGAAGTGAGCTGTAGCTCACGAAAGCTCATGCTCAAATAAATTGGTTAGTCTCTAAGGTGCCACAAGTCCTCCTTTTCTTTTTGCTTTATTACAGCAGACACACAAATCTACAGGGAGATAAAATCAGCTAGACGTGAGTAAGTGAAGCAGGGCTTCCTTAGAGAATACATTCAAATAACGTCACTGAGTAACAGCCAACTATCCCAGAAAGCCTGGCCTATAAGAAAGATTCATAGATTCCAAGGCCAGAAGGGACTGTTGTGATCATTTAGTCTGAACTTCTGTACAGCACAGGCCACAGACCTTCCTCAAAATAATTCCTAGAGCAGAGCTCTTAGAAAAGCATCCAATCTTGATTTCAAAAAGGTCAGTGATGGAGAAGCCACCATGATCTTTGACAGGTTGTTCCAACAGTTAACTCCCCTCACTCTTTAACAGGTATTACTTCCAGTCTGAACTTGTCCTGCCAATAGATTGTGTTATGCCTTTGCTTGTGTGTAGATAGGGTCCCACGCTCCTATTAGTTCACTCAGGAATTATTCTTGCAACTCTTTCTAATGTCACTGGGGTTGAGGTACAAATATCTTCCATGCACCCACTGACAAACAGACTCCATGGGCCAAATTCATCCACAAGGGCATGCAGGAGAAATTCTCTGGAGTGGGGTTGTGTTTTCAAAGCACCCAGGTGGCTAGGAGCCTAAATCCTGTTTCCAAAAGTGCCTAAGTCTCTTAGGAGCCTCAGTCTCACTAGAAGTCAGTGGGACTTAGGTGCTTTTTAAACATTTTACCCTAAATAAGTGCCAAATCTTAGAATGAAAGCTCATGTCAATGTTCTCATCCCCTGCGAAGAAGCAGAGTTGATTCTTGCCTCTTCATTCTCCATTTCCAGAGCCTCCACCAGTCAGCCACATCACATTTCCTGCTTTCTGACTTTGTCCTTATCAAAGGAGATATGTTGCAGAACTGGCATTCTGTCTAACAGCTGGTTACTGAACTGCTGACCTTGCTCAAAAGGGCTCCATTCCATATTGCAGCATCCCAGAGCCACCCAGCATGGCTTCGGTGTCTATTTAAATGATGTTGCCCAGTTTAGTTCTTGTTAAACTACAGTGAGCCAGAACCGCTGCCGGGGTAAATGGGTGTAGCTGTTCAATTGCAGCCCAGGGAGCTACGTCAGTGTACACCAGCTGAGCATCTGACCCAGTATCTGCATTTGATGTAAAGGGCCATAAATAAATTGCAAAGCACCCTATGCACACACATGATTTCTCCACGCAGGTTTGCAAGCTTCCTTAAAAAAAGATGAAGGACCCAGCATCTTTTTCACCTGGTGGCAGCTATTTGAACCAAACATGTGCAAACTGTTTATGTACTAGCCAGGCATAAATTAGAATTTAAAAACAAAACATTTTTGTTGGAAGGGAAATCCTAGTCCATTAATCAATTGGCTAATTTTCTAATGCTAGAGACTTCCTAATCTAACAAATTTAACAGCTGCTCAAAACAGCTGGTGCATACAGCTCTTGTTTCTGAGAACTAAAATGCTTCCGTTCTGTTTTTCAAAAGTTGTGTTTATTGTGCTTTGCTAAGAGCTTCACATGCTGAAAGGACCAAATCAAGCAGCATCCGGTGTCTTAGTAAGTTTAAAAGGTGATGACATGTAAGGCTAGATTCACCAGAGTGCACCAGCTGTTTTGCACCCCTGCAGTGACATGGCGTGGCTGCTTTGTGGCACTGGAGTGGCCCAGATTAGCCAGAGCAGAAGAGGTATACAGAAGGCATTTGTAGATTTTAAGGCCAGAAGTGGTCATCATTATCCTGCACAATACAAGCCAGTGTTAGTTGTTCTGTTTCCTTTTGATCCGACAGGCATTTTTCAAATTGCTGAAAGTAACTGTCTTTGAAATCTGATTAGAAACAGCAACCACATTACAGCTGATGGCCTCATTAAACCTAAGGATAGAGTGAAATTACAGGCCAAATCCTGCTCTCAGTTATACTGCTCAATAAGACTCCTCATACAGCCACAAGGCATGTGCCTAGATGTTTGTAGGATGGGGTCTTTAGTGATGGACTTGCCAGACGTGAGTGGATGTCCCATCCTACAGGAAGGTGACCAGGTGCAGACCTGACTCTGGGTACTCAGTTTAGGCCCACACCCCGGGAGACCGATTTGGTTTCTTTCTTGCTTTGAAGAAAAAGGGGGGAAAGAAAGAAGTGTGCAAACATCATGAGATCTGAGGAATGATTTCAGTAGGTACAGCTGGCCTGCCCCGTAGAGTTTGGAAGACTGGTCCACACAGAAAGGGCAGCCTGGAGAAGGCAGAATGACATTTGGGAGAGAAGGGGATGGAGAGTGAACACAGGGGCTGTCACAAGTTCCAAAAGCACACATACCGACCAAACCTCACAGTACCAGAATTGCTTGAAATAGACCAATGAGCTTTCTTACTGCCTTTGTGTAGACACGTCCATAAAAGCCTGCCCCCAGCATAATGCTGCCGACATGCCCAATGCGACAAAATTAAGAGATTCTGTTCAAATGTTACAAACAGAGCAGCCGCATCACCACTTCGACCAAGTGCTAGATGAGCCCAGGGAGAGGAACACGACCAGAGTTGCTGTTCTTTGCCTAATGGAGCAATGGAGGCAGGCGGAGGCCTGCTCTGAACAGGATCTAGGATTTTCAGAAGCCCTCCGTGCTGGCCCAACGCTAAGGCCCAGATCTACCAAGGGACTGCAGCATTGCAGTGCCACCCAGGTGAAATCCATAAGCCCTGAGTTAGGTGCCTAGGCTCCCTTTCCAATGCATGGGGAGAGGTAGGCGCCTATGAATGGGAATCACAAAAACCAGCACACGGGGGGGGGGAAGGAAGCTGCCTAAGTGAGTCAATAGCAGATGCCAACGAG